TGCACAATTTATGGTATTTTCTTATTTTCTTATTTGCTTTTGCGCGGTCGCAACTCCAGTTGGCGGCAGAGAAGTAGCGTTCACTTCGTATTTACACAAATTCACTTGTTTAATGTTTTAATTAATGGTCCCCGCATAAAGTGCACTTGGTTTAATTGATTTAACTGTTTTTTAGATATTATTAAATGTTTTTTCCAGCCTAAAAACGTTTTTCAGCAGCAGCGCATCTGAATTTCACACTTTTGCATTGATCGCCTCTTCTCCTCTTTCCCATTTCTTGCTTACCATGCTCTCTGGCTTAGGGAGAGCGCGTAAGTTGTCAAACGGTTTCAAGAGGTGAAGAGCGAGAGTGTGGAGGAGTTGAAAAAAACAAAGGTGGCAAAAATGTGTTAATAAGTGCGTGCTGCTGCTAAAAAATCATTTAACGCCCGAAAAAATGTGCGATAAAACCTACAAAACAATTAATTCACTAGAACTAAGTGCGCTGTATGTGGGAGAAGTGAAAGGAGCATGGATAACAAGTGTATATCAACATTAAAAAGAAAAAACAAACCTACTTGCAAATGCAGTGCATATGTATGTACACACATACAAATTAATATACACAGAAGTGCCGCTTTTCCCGCCAAATTAAATTGTGGCTGCGAGAAAATGAAAATGTGCAAGTGCTTAAGTAAACCTTAAACCAAGTGCCTTTACCTTAAACCTTAATTAATAACGAAGTAATAAAAAAGATGTGAGACATCCGCGGCCAAGTGAAGGCAGCAGCAGCACCCAGTAAACATACAAACATACATCCATACAAACGTACATATGTTCTAATTTGATTTCATCTGCTTGAGATCGCAGTGGTGAAATCGTAACTACCGAATGCAAGTGTGGACCGAAGAGAGCGATGGGAAAGAGAGGAGCCGAAGAGCAGAGCAAATTGGACACAGTGCAAAATTGAGAGGAGCTGCTGTCAAGGAACGGTTTTTAGTAAAAGCAAAAGGAAAAAAAGTGTGAGTATATTTACAAACTTATGAATTCATTAAGACTAAATTAAAATTAAAATAATAAAAATTCTGTGCAGGAACAAGCAATTAATTTGTGAAAACAAATACATATGTTCAACCTCAGCCGGAAAAGAAAACAAAATAAAACTGTCGCTGCTCCGCCTGCAAAATGGAAACGGTAAAAGAAATACACACAAAAAGAAATTCTGCAACTGAGTGAACCTAAGTGAGCGGTTGTTTTTTTCCGCTAAAAACTAAATAAATAAATTTGTGATAAACAATAAAGACATTTACAAATCAAAGTAAATTAATATAAGCTTCTAAGAAAATACAAATAATACGACACCCGCGGAAAGCAGCAGCCGCCAAAATATATTTCTCTAAGTGTAAATGCACCGCGAGTGATCTCTCTTTCTCTCTCTCAAAGAAAAAGTTTTGTTGCGCTTAAAGCGTTTTGAATTAACAGTTATTAAAAAGAAACATGTAAATACAAAAGCTTTAAAGTGCGTGTATGTATGCAATAAGTGAAAATAAAAGTGTTGTGCTGATGAAAAATGCCAAAGAGCTTTGGTATGTTTATATTTGCGTTCAATTATATCGCTCTTTTCATTCCTTTCCAGTTTTCTTTTGTTTTTTTTATGTGCTTATGTTTTTGTTTTATTTTTTTAAGTGATAAGTGTAATGTTAATAATTTTTTATATATAAAAAATTATTTTAAATATCAAAGGAAAGGAAGAAAGGCTTAGAAAATTTAGCGAATGGCCAAAAATAAATGTGTTGTGTTAATAATTTAAATAAAAATTCAACAAGAACATTCACAAAAAAATATAATACACGAAAATACGTAGAAGATGAAAGAAAGAAAGAAGAAGAAATTGAGAAAATCGGTAAGTGAGTAAGTTAGATTTATTTAATTTTTACATTGAATATATCGTGATATAATATGTATATGGAAAAAAAACTTTTTCTTTTAACTCATAATGCAAACATTATTGTAACTTTTAAATTATTTATAATCAAAGGCTATGCTTCTTTCAATGTCCCTGAATATTTTATGAAGAGTTTTCCCAATGTCCCAGTGATCACATTCTTAATATATACTTATATTCAAGATTTTCCTGTACACATACATATATAAATCTAAGAAAGCCGAATTGAATTTACAGCCTTTACAGCCTTAATCTCTCTTTCAGTAATATTATTTTTCAGCCATATTTTAATCATATATAAATAATATAAAATAATATATAAAAATAATATAATAAAATGAAATATAATGCAATATAATATATATATAATATAATATAATAATGTACGAAATTAAAAGGCAAATTTGTTTCCTTCCCGAATCATTATATTTAAAATTGATAAATTCTGCTAACTGTTTTTGTAAGCCTAATAATAAAAGCCTTTGTGATATAAATTAAAATATTTAAAAAAAGTGAGTTACTAAATATTACAATAATAGTAGCAAACAAAAACACCTAAAAAGTGTCTGACTCTCCATTATTGAAGGCTTTTCCCATCCCTTTTGTAATTGATCTAATATGATTTCCTCCTCGCTTAGTTTTCCCAATTTTGCATTGACTAATTACCAATTTGTATCCTGGCCTAACCAATCAAGTTGATGCGAACTGTTTTGATGGATCCCATTGTTCCTGTGTTGCATCAAAATCCAGCTTCCGACACGGTAGGGTAACCATTGGGCTCTAATCCCACTCAAAACCCAATTTTCTAGACCACATTCCGTTGGTTTGACTGACGCAGAATTCACACATTGCGCAACATCCATAAACAGGCTATTAACACCTAGAGACCCGAACAGCTGCTGCATTATAATGCGGGCACTGCCACGCCCCTTAACCCATGGAAGCCACCTTGCCACCGTGCCACTGCCACTGCATCCAAATGCATATTGCAGTTGCAAGAGTCCAAATTAGTACGAATTACACATGGTTAGGGGGGTGGGAAATGCGGTGAAGGGGGTTCGAGGGGGTGAAGTGGAAAATCATGCATACGGGAGAGGAAATTATATGGCTGGACATAATATATATATGAAACATTATGATGATGTTGTCGACGAGGCTGTGCCATCTTGATGCGGCTTACAGATAGAAAAATAGTGATTAATATGACAAGAATAAGAATTTGTAGTGAAAACTCTTGTTTAAATGTTTAAACAAAACATAAATATTTAATTTATAAAGAGAAAGCCTTGTTTAAATATTTAAATAAAAAAAAATAATAGCTATTTTATTAAGAGAAGCCCTTCTTAAATGGGTTTATATATATGTATAAAGGTTACAAAAGTAACAAAAATTGCAAGGTATATTTTTCATTTATGCTATAAAGTACTGCATTTCTCTCTCTGTAAACACACTGGAAAAGCGAAAACTTTTGTCGACATAAAACAATAAAAGTTTTTCGCTTATTGCCCACTTGTCCTTGAGTGGTTTTGCATGAAGTCCGACCGCCCCAGTGTTTTTCCCCGCTTTTCCGCGAAACTTTTCGTCAATAAAATATGTATATGTGTTTGTAGCATATTTTGCAATGGCCATTAGGGAAGCGGAACCTGTATGGTGTACACACATATTGATTTTCCATCAGCGTTCACTCAACTGTTTAACTATGTGCTAATATTTATTAAAATCGAGCGACGTAAGGCCGCACGTAACGTAATGGCACGTAACGGTGTAAGGGCTCTAAGTTACGACGAGAGCACAATATGATGTTAACGCCGGCAAATGTGTGGGTAATGTGCTGCAAGGACTCGACATTCATTATGCCTCCCCATTGGGTTGGTTGGCTGGCCTACATGGCGTATGATTAATCCCGTTTCATTATATTATCGCTTATGCCACATCCTTGTTCCTCCGCCTCCTCCTTCCTCAGCTTCGTCCTTTGTCCGGGCATGAAAAATAGCTAGCCCCTTTGTTTTGCCAGCATTTAGTTGTAGACTCAAGTCTCACTTTTACTTACGCATAATTTATTACACATTTGTTCGAGCCATTAACCCTCCTACTTGACCATTAAAACAACTCAATTAACAGTTGACATAATATGCTTTAGTTTCTTTCGGTTTTGGTTTTAATTTTCCTTTTTTTTCTCAGTTTATCCTCCTTTTATTTTCAGGTTTTTCTCACACATTTTAAATTCTTACACTTTTAAAAGATTTCTGTTTCAGTTTCTCTTCGTTAAATCGTATGTCTGTGTGGCTCATATTTAATTGAAGGTTACTTTCAAATGTTATGTTTTCTTCTTTTTTTTTTTTTGCTTTGATAACATTGTTGATTCTGGAGGGAGGGGGGAGGGGGATTTGGGGGGTTTTGTGTTAAATAAACTAGGTTTCTTTAATGTATATATATATAGCATTTCATTATATAATAATTTTATAAATACACATTTACATATATAATATTTATTTCAGTTTTATGCCGTCTTTTAGTTTTCCTTTTCATGTGTTTTCTTAGACTTTAAGTATCTTAAGAACTTGCCTGATGAAAGTGGAAATGTTGACAGAATTTGATTGAGCAGAGTTATGGGGAAAACACCTTAAATATTTCAATATTTCACTTGACACAAAGGAATATTATCGCTCGACAAACTTTTTGCAATAAATATCGAATATAAAGCGCCTCATCAAACACAATGTGAATCCTAATTTGAATTCCATTTTTTATTCGCTCCTGTAGCCTTTAGAATTTAATCAGAATTTATTCGCATGAAATTTCGTATGAATAGATATTGAATGTTTATATTGTTGGTATATTTTACATGGTAGTTGGGGGAAAAAAGCTTATGAAAAACATGTTTGGGGGTTGGATTTGCTTTGATTTAACCTCTGAATACTCATGCTTGGTTTCAATAGTTCTTTTTTGTTTTCTGTCTGTTATCATTGTTAAGTTTTATTTTATTTATTTGCTTACTGCTTAGCTTGATTAATGAAACTTTTTCCCTTTTACTTTAATTTTTATTCAATACCTTTTTCTGTTTGCTTTATTTTTTGTGTAACATTTGGATTTTATTGGTTTTTCTTTCTTTTATATATATTCGGTTAGCTTTACGTGCTCTATGGCAAAGTTTGGTGTGATGACAGAAATTAGCCAGACAAAAAGGTTTGAGTTTGCAACCAAGAGAGGAAATGGAAAATGGTAAATATAAATGGTAAATCGTGGAAATTCGAATGGAAAATTTTACTTGAAAACATTAGAATAATTGTGGAAAATTCAACATTTTAGTTAGATGTAAAATACCCTTATTCTGTTGGGTATTTCTTAATGTATCTCTTTTTCGTTTCGTTTAACACTTGACTAATTTTTTGCTCGCTTTGAGTAACAACAAATAAATGTATGAAATGTGCAACAATTTTCCGTCCTCGCCGATTGTATCCTAAATTCAAACCGTCATTCCTCTGCACGTTGGGTAGTAATACTTATGTTTATTCAATTTGTACATTACACAAGAACGAAACGAAACAACTTATTCGAGGGTTGCTCTTTTCAAATACTTTATGACTTAATTTCTAACCATTCAGATGCAGCCAAAAGAAAAATTCTCCCCTCGACGGGTTCCGCTCTTCGTGCCTCCCCACTCTTATTTTGCCTTAACTTGTAGCTAAGTTTTCCTTTGCTTTAGTTTTTCCTTTATATTTTACACAGTGTTCGTTTTTCTTTTCGTTTTTTTTTTCTTCTGTTTTCTGCTTTAGCCTGTACTTGAAGTTGAATGTTTTTTAGTTTGCGTTTTGCTAATTGCCTTTCGGTTGAATATTTATCTGTCTATTAGGATTTCGCAAAATGCAAATGAGAATTTTCCCTTTGCCTTTGGTGGAGGGGGGAGGGGGAAACAGTCACAAAGTGGCAGTCGAGAAGCGTTTCCTGTTTTTGGTATTAGCTGGAAAATATATATTACTGTATTTTGTTTTTCCTTTCGTTTTTTAGCCTACTTTAAAGGGTAGTTTTTTGGTTAAGTTTTTTCAGCTATAAAATAGTATCGAAGGTCGGAAAGAGTCGATTGAAAAAGCGCCTCTAGGTATGCTATGCAGCCTATTTACACAATTTCCAATTCTAGGGAAACACGGGGGAACCAAGGACTTAGATAGCTTCATTGTATGATACAAAGTCGTACATAAAAAAGGCGACAACTTGGCTTGATCTTGACATTATCTCTAGCATAGTTTATATTTCATATTCATTATGTTTTTTTTTCGTTTTTTTTGTGCTAAATATTACGTATACGTCGCTGATTCATAGAAAAACGCAGTAGCCAGTAAAGTTATGTTTTTTATGTATACGCTTTATAGTTATTATAGTTACAGCTTACGGTTGAGTTAAGAGTGGCCTCGAGGGCGGGGCAGCCAGGATTGGGTGAGTTCACCTGATGTCCGTCTCGTAGAGTTGCCTAGACGTGGCCGCCTCCGTTCTTGATTGTAGTTTCAGTTGCTGCCGGCACAGGCAAAAGTCCTGATTCTGCTCCTGCTCCTGCTTCTGCTCCTGCTCCTGCTCCTCCTTCGTCCACTTGCCTAATATCCTTGGCCAGGGCCAACGGCCACACCATCGCCAGTGCTGGCATCTCAAAAGGCTAGCGAGGATGTATTGTAGAGCATGTCCTGACGACGCTTCTTCTCCCCCAGCTCCTCGCGGAGCCTCTCCACTCCTCCGCTTGGCTGGAGAGAGCGGGGGCGTGGCCAGAGCGGCGCCCAGAAGCGCAGCGATCCACCGGCAAGCGCCCAGCTGAAGAAGCACACACACAGGTACACAAACAGACAGCGAGTGGGCGAGGGGTGAGGATGCGCTAGTGCCGCGTGCTGCATTGCTGCTGGGAACTCCCCTGGAAACGGAATGGGAAACACCTGTTTAATTTACATCTTTATTGCTGTCCTTATACTCAGACATTTGGGGGCAACTGAAAAGTCATTAACTAGTGTTTTTGAGAGCGTGGTGAAAAATGGCGTTGAGGTGTCACTGGAGTGTGCTAAACTTGGGGGGGAAGTCCCACCAAAAATTAGCAAGGACTCGAAAATAAAATCGATAAAAGTGTACTTATAAGAGAGCAGCAAATATCAGCTTGGTTTTCCATAGCATATATATTATATTTAATATAATATTATACATTTTTTATCCTTAATTTAAAAACAGTTTAAAATTGCCTCTGATTTTAAATCAAAATATTCATAAAACACATTTAACATTCAAAATAATGTCCCAACAAATTCATAATTTTTATGCCCCCTGCCTGTATCAAGTGTCCTTGCCGAGTTCACTTAAAATAAGGGGAGAATAAGGGAAAACTGTCTCGCTCCCCCTATATCCCATGTCCTTAATGCCGCATAATCCCCCCTTCGGACACTAACCGGATTACCAGCTCCACACAATAGAGGGGAGGGGAGCCGGTGGTGATAACCAAAGAGCTGTCAAACAATAAAACTGCACAGATAAACAGAAAGCTGAAAACAATACAAAGATTGTCGCCAAAGTCAAAACAACAGGCCAAAACAAAACAAACAGCCAAACAAAACTAACAAAAAGAATCCTTCGCTCTGCGGCTCAGAATAAAGGCAACAAAACACAGACAGAAACACAATGAAACCGTCGACTGTTTACAACTTACTGGAAGTGATACAAAAATACAGGTGCAAGAGCTGTGAATGCACCTGCAAACAGAAAGTGAAAATCACCCACCGTTGCGACGAAAAGATTTATACAAAAAGTTGTTTTAAACAAGGCTTTACTTGGGTCAAAAGTCGCATTGTGAAATGGTGCAGGAAACTTGCAAATATCACAAATTTCAGAACTAAAGATTATTTTTAAACCCTTGTAGGTTAGTCAGAAGTTTGATACTCCGCAAATAACTTATTTTCGACCCTATAAACAATATATTCTTGATCAACATCAACTGGCGAGTCGATCTAGCCTTGTTTGCAAGAAAAACAAATGTTACGATTTTTTCAAAATTTTATAAGGGGTTACATCAATTGTCAAAAAATGGCAAACAGTTAAATTTTTACAAATTTTAAATCCAGTATGAAGACTTATAAGTCTTTTAAAACTAAAATATGATAGCTTTCCGAATTCAAATAAATTCTTTTTTGTCTTAGTTATGAGTTTTTAAATCTTTGATTTGTTGAACAAAATTATCATACACAAATATCGATAAGTATTGATTGAAAAACGAATATTTTATGCTTAGTTATTATCGATTTTTGATTCGATTCTATAGTTGATTTCCAAACTGCAAGAGTTTAAAATCATAGGTTATCGGAAGTTAATATTCCTTCCTTGTTTAAAATTTATTCTTTTATTTATTCCTACTTTTAATATGAATAAAAATATAAATATTTTCTAAAACTTAGCATAGTATTTCTAGTTCTTTCCTATATTTAGTTTTGCAATCCCTGTTTTAAATTAATCCGTAAAATCTTTGTAAACTAACTCTTTAAAAACTTTTCAACCTCTTCCAACTTCCATTATTGCCTGGTAAAATCTTATTGCCATAAATATTTTCTTTCATTAAAATCAACAAAGTGAACTTCCGGAAAAAATTCAAAAGTTATGGCAGCTTCCACGCTTCGGAATGGAATTTTTTATTTCCATTAACAATAACTTAATACATTTTGATTCTAAAAAAGTCAACAAAGCAATTTCAACGAACTGCAGTTGCAGGACTCAACTTGCACTTGAAGTCCTTCCTCGAGTCTAAAGTCTAAAAGCCTGAAAGTCTGACAGCGAACTCAAGCGAAAATTGCAAACCTGTGATCCCGATGAAGTCGATGTTGATGTTGCTGGGGATTTGCCGAACAACAAGAAAACAATTACCTACATATATATAAATATTTATATATTTATATAATACAGGTGTATATGTATAGGTAACAATACAAAATAAAAGCAAAGTAATGCCAAAAGTAAACAGAAGAAAAGGAAAGTGAGGGGGATAAACTTTCGACTGCAACACAACAAAGGCAGGATTGGTAGAAACAACGGCGTTGACGGGCATATAATCATAATAATAATACTAACAAACAAAGTAAAAGCAAATGCAAAAAAGAAAAACAACAAAATGTAACGGCAATGGGACAATGGTGAAAGTAGCAGAACAACAGACAAAACATAATAATAATCAGAAACAAGTGTGCCAAAGCAGTTAACGGAAACAACGCGCATTGCATGCACAATATGCTGACAGGGATGAGTGCCCCTCCTCATGAACACCCCCCAAAAAGCCTGATTTATGCATAGAGAAAAATTCGAATTCATTTCCTATTAAATTTAACAAAAAATTAAATAGTTAACAACTTGGAAGTCGGGCTCTGAAGTAGGGGACAAAATTTGTGTATAATAAAGTTGTACCTATAATTTTTAATGGCTTAAAAACACTTGCCGAAGTTTAGCAAAAAAAGACTGTATGCTATAGAACATGTCTCAATTTATATATTAATTTTTAAAACATTAAAAATATTTGTTCACTTTTACCGAATAATTTATCACAATATATATTTAACTTTAGCCTCACAAACTTCAATCCCTTTCTCTGATTATGTTAAAGTGTTCCAAGTTTCTTAAGATTTTTTCTTATCTTTCCCATGAATAATTACCAAGATTTTTCTCTCGGTGCATGCATAATTGTGTGTGTGTGTGTGTGTGTGTGTGTTCTTTTGCGAAAAGACAACGCCGTGTGACATTATCTAGCAGACACCGTTGCTGCGACAACGACGACAACTTGACATTAGTGAAAGTCGCAAAGGAAGTGGCGTGCAGCAACTGCTGCTGGTTTGCCTTTTCCCACTTTTCCTGCTGCTGCGAGTAAGTTTTCCTATCCACTCAGCGGTGGTAGGGGGAGGGAGGCGTAACATAAACATAATTTTCATGTGGCACGCGTGCCAGATACAGCAAAAGGGGGCAAAGGAGGCCAAGACCCCAAAAAAGTCGGTTGAATTTTAATACTCTTATTTTAGCTATTTTGAGATGAAATATAATAATAATTAAGAGTTTTTCAAGAAACTTAAGTTGTATTTTATTTCTCTTGATAACTAAATTCATAGGAATATTAGTATACTTAGTAGTATTGATAGATCTCATAGATCCTAATAGATCCTAAATATTAAGAACTAAAATAACTAGATTAGATTAAACTATGTAATCTCAATTTTAAATGTTTATTCTTGAGTCTTTAGATCTTTATTAGGTTACATTTTATAGCTTATATAAAATATACCTTAATAATATTAACAAACCCCTTTCATAAGCTAACTAGCTCCTTAAAAGTTAGTATATTTCCCTGCAATTTAGATTTTTACCCCCTGGCCAGACTCACTCGGCAAAATGTTGATGGCTGCCGGAGTGGTTGGCAGATGGGGATAAATGGATGGAGGGGCTCTGTGGTTAATGATTATACGGTTGGATGGGGAAAAAGCTGTGGGGGAGGGGAAAAACCAACGACTACTAACTGTCTCTCCATTCTCTATGATTTTCACGTGCCACTTTTAGCAGTTTTCACTTAGCTGAACTCGAACTCTCGCCTGGAATCGGGTACATGGAAATAGACACTTTTCCCCCTCTTCGTATAATCAATATTTGCTCATTGGTTTCCGAATCGATTCACCTGAACTCTTACTTTTCTGTTTTGTTGATGTTTCGATGTAGTTTCGTCGTAATTTTGCTTCAGTTTTGTCGTAGTTTCTCTAGGTTTAAACAACACTTTGTTGGACATTTATTTGTCACCTCTTGCTCGGTCTCCACCCTTTCGATTATCTGTGACAGTACTTAGCACCCCGCTGTGTGTTGTTCTCTATTTTGTAGTTGCCCTGGATCTTTCCATGCTTCTGTGTCACTTCTTGGGCTGCACCCGGAGGAGCTTTAGCTTTAGCTGCAATTTCTATGGCTGCCTTTGGACAGATTTTAAGCCAATTGATACGCTGACTCAGGAGGCCTGGTGGCAAGTATTAGCTGCTCCAAAGGGGATTTGAGATTGGGATTTGGGATCTTCCACGTTTTGCTACAGGCAATTCTTCAGCGATTTTTCTGCATTTAACTTTCAGTTCTTACAAATTAAAGCGGTATTTACTTAGTATCCTTAGACACTCCTTGAGCTACAGTAATCTTTTAATTCTCTTGAATTTATTCAATAGCTACTTGGAAAGTCCTTCAGTTCTTCTTTTGCCACTTGAAGTGCTTGAAATAAACTTTAAATTTGAAAATAAGATGACCTTATTTATTTATTATTTACAAGAGAAGAGTAATCTTTACTTGCACTTGCGATTTAAAGATTTAATTGTAATTGAAGCTACATTAAATTCTGTACACAACCCAATCAGATTTGTAACATTTTTCATCTGCATTATTATAGAATTTCCTTTTTGATTTATTTTTTTTTTGGTGGCTGTAGAGGGAGTAATCTCCTTTTTTATCAATACCTCTTTAACCTATTATATGTATGTTGTTTCCCTTTTGTTGCCTTCGCATTTATCCATTAACATTCCCCATTGTTTTATTCACATTTTTGTGCAGTTTCATTTTTGAATTTCCCTCTCAATTTTTTCAACCATTTTCCCCGACATTGTTTTCTTTTTTTTTCAATGTCCTGTGGCGGCGGATGATTTTGTCTGATATGTATTTGTGTTGTCGTTGATTTTACTTACCATTGAGCACATGTACGGTAACGCTTTTGGGCTTTGCATTTGATGGATTACATTGATAATGCCCCGAATCCGAGGGACGCGCCGATTTAATTAGAAGGAACGATGTGGTCGTATCGCCTTTATTGGTAACCACCGACACGCCGCCGCGCGGCGAATCATAGTTGATAATCTGCGGATGAGATGGAAACTTCCGAAAGTCATAAAGTATTTTTCTTACAAATTGGCCCGGCTAAAGGCGGATGGTCATAACATTTTCTAAGCCATAAACCAGAGGCCAGATTACGCATACGCACTGTTGCACACTTGGCAAATTAAAATCTCTAAGGGAAAGCCGTCGAAAATATGCTAAGTAAGGGAAGAGCAAGATTGCAAATAAAAACCAAGGCAAAACAATAAAATTAAATCTGTCGAGGGCACAAGAAAAACAGGAGGAAAGATCTCATTCCTCCCTGCTAATGGCAATATATTTTTTCCCCCACCGTTTCTATAGAAAACCCATAACAATGGCTGGGGACCATCAACCCTTGTGGCATTGTTGCTGCCGCTACTTCGCCGTACAATAAGCCATCCGTGAAGTGTGAGGAAAACACCTAAAGTGGAAACTAAAACGTGGCACAGACCAAACAAAACCGAAATCCATTTAAAGCTCAAACCCAAGAACCCTTTTTTCCCCCAAACCCCAAGCCTCAGGCTCCAAGCCAACTTCCTTCCTTAAATGGCATTTCCTTATAAGAAAAAATAAAGAAAGAAAGACCAAATACGAAAGAGGGAAAGTTTTTGGCCCGGCAAAGCTAATTTAAAAGTTACTAAATTGAACACTAAAGGGTACACCCAGACTCTGGCGGGATGGAAGCGATAATAATGCCCCAAAGTAATTGCGTGTCCTGGCAAATGGCATTGGCTTTATGGTCACAGGACTCAGACTTACAGCATTATTATGATTCCAAAAGATATAGGCCGGCGGCTCCGGTGAGTTGAGTATGACACAGGTGAGATTTATAGTTGAACCGCTTTCTATATACAAATCGGGGGCACCGATAATTTCCGTCGAAGGTTCTGCAAATGGAAGAAAAGAAACAAAAACCCAATTAAACGAGTGTAATTAAAACAATTTTACTTGGAATTCAGTTGGAATAAAATAACAATTAGCCAAGAGAGAGGATTCGCGCCCTAGGGGCATGGAAATTTCAAAAGAAAATCCAAGCAAGGGGGAGAAATGATTTCCATCCTTTTGAAACTCTGAAGCAATTGAAATAACGCCGAAAATGAGATGGAAATATTTTGCATTTACACTTCGTTCTACAGTTACTTAATTCAATGATAATTTAATGTGAGAAAACTTTCGGATGAAGGGGAAATCTTATCATTTACATTTTCAGATAAATTTAAAAGTTACTTAAGGGGTATTACTTACCAACTACATTCAGGTGAATGTAGTGACTCATATGAGGTGTGGTCGACACCTGGCACTCGTAGATCCCAGAGTCGCGATGTTGCGGATACTTGATCTGCAGCATCCAGTCTTCGGTTTGCGGCTGATGTATGGCCCTAAAGCGCTGATCCGAGGTGTATGTGTACCGGCCAACAGTCAGCAAATGAATGTCCCGGTGCCGTACCCAGGACACTTGAAGCAACATCTAAAATAATTCAAGGAGAAAGGGGAGGAGATTCTTCAGATTTCAGATTTCATTTGTTTGGCAAACAGTTTAAAAAGTCAATTTCATACGCAGCTGCTCAAGACCCCCATACACAGACATGTGTAAAATGCAAATTTATTTTGAAATATTTTATATATATGATTTTTTTTGCACATTTTCTGTTCATGTTTCGCTGTTTGTTTTTGCTTGAGGGTGAAACCTTTGCAGGGACAATCGCAGGGGTGAAATGCGAAGAGTCCTTTTCGCCAGACAACCTGGCACCGACAAATTGAATGTAACACACACTCACGGCAACACACACACATGTGTGTGTGTACACAGAAAACAAAATTAAATTAACTTGAAATTGTGTAAGAAATGTACCTTAACTCATACAAATTATAGAAGTTATATTACAACCTAACAAACCTATGACAGTCTTTAGTAATTACTTAAATTTTACGTACAAATTCTCCGCCTAATAACTAATATATCATTTGTATATCATGGCTCATTATGTCATAAAGGAAGAATAATCTATATATTTCCCTATCCTAAACATTAATTTTTCTTTCGGTGTGCTCGTGTGACCACGCCTGAAACGCCTTCAGAAACCACCTGCTGTTTAATACTCAAGTTTTCCCCCTGTCCAGGAGGCGCAACATTTTTAAGTGACGCTGATTTAGGGGTTGCCTCCGGCAGGTGGAGTGGGTTTTTTCTCGCTGAAAGGTAAAAGTGGGCGGGGATATACACACACCTGGCTGTGTGTTGCGTGTCATACGTCAGCTGCTAGCTGAATATTTTCAATTTCAATGACAACAGCTTAGCAACATCCTGCCTAACGATGAGCGACGACGCCCAGGACGAGGACGAGTACGACTTTTGGCAAAGTTAATGGCCAAGAAACTCGACAGAGGAAGGAAGGATGGTTGGGGGCGATGATAGAATTTTGGTCCCTGGACCAGGTGTTAGTTGCCAGACACAAAGGTAAACTTTGGCAGATGCTTAAGCAAAGTTGCATGTAATTAACACCAAAAGTCCTCAAGCACAAATGCCGAAGGAGTGAGTGAATTTAGTAGGAGGTAACTTTTCCTTCTCCCCCGAAAACCGCACAAATTTTCCAGAGACTTCGCCTTCCGTAGATTTTTATATGCGCATTAAGCTTGTTTACAGTATCGTAAAATTTTTTAGCATATCAATATTTTCTTTCATTTTCCCTGCTGCTGCTCTGCGAAAAAGCGAACATCAAAATCTGAAAAATTCTTTTACAGCTCAATTTGGGCAGACGAGTCAAGGTACATAAATTTGTTCGCACCTTATTTCTTTTGCTGATTTTTTGAGGTGAAAATTACTGCCAAAATATGGATAATTTAGGGGGGAATTTGGATAAGAATTCAAGCATATGAAATGTATTTTCAAATCGCATTAATCGGGTTTATAAAATGATTTCAAATGGTAGTTCAAATCAATATAAGAACTAGTGTTTCTAAAAACAAAATAAGTATTTAATGAAATGTTTATAAAATCATAAAAATGATTAAAAAGCAAATCCTTATAAAACATACTTATGAAACGTAAAGCATATCCTTTAAAATTCTACAAGTATGATAAACATTCAAGGGAATATCACATCCTTTAAATAAAACCAATAACCCCTGTAGTTATGTCCTTGCTATGCTAGTAAAAAAGGAAAGGAAAAACCAACATAAAATACCTTTTGAAAGCATAAATAAAGCACTATCTTCTTTGGCGGACCATCCATCCACATGGCCATTAAATGGTTTTCTTTATTTCCATAGAATTATGAGAAAAATGGCGATGTGTCTGTGTGTGTGTGTGTTGGTGTGCTGGCATTAAAACATAAAGCTTTCCCCGAGCAAAGCGCAAATGAAAAACGTCATTAATAATGCAGAGACCATCAACATCCGTTCGCTGTTTATCATTATAGACGGTGTGAAGCAAAGAGCACACGTATATGTGTATGTACACGAGCATAAAACAGAAGGATTTCTCTTTTTTTTTTATCTTTTTTATATATATTTATTTTCCTCCTTGGCATCGCAGGAGCTTAGCTCTCGGCCCAGATGCTGCCAAATCTCAGCAGGAATGATGTATTACCTTTAGTCCTTAGGATGAGGTGGAGAAAAAACTGAAGCGCGGAAGTGGGTGGTATTTTGGGGGGGTGGTGAACTTGTGGCTACGCTTGTGGCATGCCACAGAGAACTGAAAGCTAATTAGATTTTAAGCTGCCACACGAAGGTAATGAATATATTTTACAGGTTGCCTAATGCTTCTCGGGTTTTCTTCTTGGTTTTTTCTCTTTTTTTTAAGGCATTTGATGAGCCAGAAATGGATACTTTCTAAAGCTGTATCGCTAAATAGAATTTTATTTTTGTTCAACGATAAAAATTAGCTTTGAAAATTAAATAAAAGGTGTCTAAAAAATAAGGATTACATCAGCTTAAGCTCATAATTTAATGTTTGCTTAAGGAAAAGGATACTTTTTAATCAACAATTGATTATATTGTATTTTTTTTTTCTAAATACGTTTCTCTTTAACCAACTGAATTATTTTAAAAAATTAAAACACATTCCAGCTTCTCAATTTAGTTAAGAAATCCCATTTAAAATGTATTCCCCATAAACCCATTTCCATCCTTTCCGCATAAAATTTCACACCCAACAAACTTTTCAGGGAAATTTAAAGAGTTTTCTTATTAATTAACTTATGCTTTAGGAAACATATAGACCCAAAGATCGATGAAGTTATCCCACTTAGCACTTCTAATGAAGTTATCCTTGGAAAGAAGAGTTTTACCCCCTACATTGTCGTGGTGCGAAAAACTTCAACATTGTCCTATGGCAAAGGTGAAAAGCCTTCAGCCACCGCCCCAAATTGAGGTTGCCCACCCACCCATTCTCTAAAATTTAATAATCACGCAAATTAGTTTTCGAAACCGCAACTCAAACAAGCCCCAAAAACCTGGGCTAATCACAGCCTGCCAGAAAGTTGGCTTTGAAAATGGGAGCAGCGGGAAACCCCCCGTTTCCCATTCTCCATTTCCCGTTTCAGAGCCAAAATGCCGGGACATGTAACATATTATTATCGGAAAAACGGGCAGGGACCTTCTCCGGTCGGTGGCGACGCCGCCGGAAGTGACGGAAGCCGAATGACTACGGGCCCCTAACTAAACTGGATTCCTGCCGAGCGAGCAAGAAAAGCTAGAATACAGAAAAACAAAACGAAAGGCGTTTTTTGGGGCCTTTTTCCCTCATTTGAATAGTTTTTCTTCCCCTCCCCCTCCCGGGTTGCCCAGGTGGATGAAGGCCTTACGGCCGGAAGTGGAAATGGAAGCAGTGGTTCTGGAGATTGTGTTTGTGAAATGTTTGCGGCACTTCCTTCCGCTCACGACGAAAAGTTGAATAAAGTAAAATCTGTTTCCTGTTTGGGTATAATTAATCATTTTGTTCTTTGGCAAGCGGAACAATTAGCCAGCCGGTCCATGTGGGTGCAGTCAACGTGCTAATTAGGCCTCCCAAAAAAAGAACAAAAAAAAAAAGAAATAGGGAAATTGGGGAAACAGTGGTACAGGACGAACTCAACCACAGGACACAAATCGCATTTTGATTTGGCAACGACAAAGTAATTACACGATAATTGCATGCAAAAATTGTCAAACGATTGCTGGATAATTTTGTAATGTTTTAGAGGAATAGGTTTGCCGGATTTTCTTTAAGAAGAAAATTAAATATCCTTGATGTTTTCGTTTATTTGCTTGTCTACCAAATTAATGATGTTATACAGATTCTTAAAATACTAAAATCCCTTATAAATTAATTTGGTTTTGCAACAAAAAACCCACCTTTATTGACCATCTTTTATTGGCAATAAAATGAAATGCAGATGAAAGCAGTCATATATTTTACTCACCGTTTTGTTGCCCAGATTCTTGACGCGACAGTTCAAATAGGCCGTCTTGCCCAGCAGGGCGGTGACGTTCTTGGAGAAGGCCTGGTCGAAGTAGGGACCCGCATTGCGGGCCTCCTCCAGCAGATCGATGCTATTCCGATTGATGCCGGATGCCATCTGTGACGGGAACGTGTTGCTGCTGCTGCCAAAGCTGCTGGCCTTGTGCAGGCTGCTGCTGGGAATGCCAACGATTGTTGTCGAGCTGCCGCTGGAGGAGCTCCTGCTGGCATCGGTCGTCATTGAATTGGTTTCGGAGGCGGATAGGGACGAGGACGAGGACGAGGATGAGGATGAGGCTGATCCGATGACTGCCTGGTGGCCATTTTTGTTATTTCCGGTGGCATTGTTGCTACTTCCGCTTCCGGCAACACCAGTGGGACCACCAGCCGCCTGCTCAGCAGATCCTCCGCCAGCCTCAGTATTTGGTATAGCATTGTTACTGCTACTCATATCCTTTGATTTGTACGAGTCACGCTGGGCGGCATAAACTGAAAGTAGTGGAGGGAAAAGAATGGAGTGGGTTTTAGAAAAGTATTTCACAAATATATCTTAAAGAAGAAGGAAAACTATCTTCAGGAAGCCAAAGTTTATATACCCTTTTAGTTTGCAATTGAATTATGGGATCGAATGGGAAGTTAATGGTAAATAAAATTAAAATATTTTCATTCTTTGAATCGATATTTATCGATATTTTTATATGAAACTTTTATCGACAAAATGCATTAATTTGAAATCGGAAAACTTTTCTAAGTTAGTTTTTATTGGGCTTATAAAACTGCATATTTAATTTAAATTTTTTAAAAATTTACATGTATGTCAATTTTTGAGAATTTTAACGATGTCACCCCTTACGTATTTTTTTAATTTGCAACATTTTTGAAATTTTTTTTTAACCGGATGTGGCTAGATGTATTCGGCTGTTGATACTGATCAAAAATATATATCGTTTATAGGGTCGGAAATGATTTTTTCACAGCGTTACCAGCTTTTCACCAAAATTATAATACCCCTCGAGGGTGTAATAATTTCCTTTTAATACCTTAGAAGAAGGTCTATTAGCTTATGGCTCATTTAAATATACTTTTAAGATTTAAATATATCTAATTAGATAAAATTGTATAAATAATTTGCATGGCTAAAACATTGGCTATCACGTGCGAAGTTACTTCAAAATTAAAGCCGCCTAATCAGCAAACATCAGCAAAACGTTCATTGACAACAATTCCGAAAAGCAAACAACAAATTTTGCTGATAACAACAAAATTGCCCATATCATAAAGGTTAAAAACAAATCAAAGAAGCTAAGTTAAACTAATTACAAACACCGACAGCTAAGGTTCAATTAATTTCACAAGTATTGGTAATAAATGAAATACAACTTTGAATGCATTTAGTAATAAATAAATATTAAATATTAATATATTATAATAATAAAAACTTGTAGATTGAATAATTTGCAACTTGCTGATAAAATATAATAATGAAGAAAACATCGGACCTGGCTAGTCTGGGGCATGGCGATAAGGTTGGCAACAAAAAAATAGTTGGCCCAAACTCAGTCAGTCCAATGTACAGCGAACTCTGTAATCACGGTTGGCGGACATGACTCTTAAAATAACTCGACCAGAATAACCGAACAAGACTCAGGCGATGCGGACAGAGAGAGCATTTTAGCCATTTTCTATATAGTTTTAGATGTTTTACGAATATTTTCTAGAGAAACTAAGGAAAACCTAGGGAAATATCAGGTATAAAGTTAAAGTTATAAAGTATAAAGTTAATTAAAGGTTTCAAGATAAGTATATTATTTATTATTGATATAGCTAACGTCACTTAACTTGTTTTATAATAGATTTTATTTAAAATCTTTTCTTAATTATAATAACCAACTCGACATCTCTGACATTGAATAATATAGGTTTCCCTCAAAATTATGTATAATATCATCTTTAATATATAAGATATATGAAGGAAATCAATATCTTTATAAATTTGCTCTCCTTCAACATTTCCTAATTAATATTTATAGAAGAATATTAATAAAACTAGCCACATTTTAGCAATTTTAAGCTAGAATATTTCACTTAATCAACACTGAAAAGAGCGAACCATTGAGTTCGCCAGATAAGATTAAGAGGTTCCCGGTTAATGTGTTCTGAAGCTCTCTATAAAAGCCGCAATGCTCGAGGCTGGGAAAGTCATTAAAGCTTATTGCAGAATCGGTTATCGACATGGACTTGGCAATGGGAAAGAATTCTTGGCGGCTTTTTCTTCTGGGCCTTATCCTGGGGCTACTGCCTGGCATGAGTCAGCAGGTGCGTGTAGAGATTAGGGGGTTTCCAGGCACCAGATTCCAGGTTGCCGGTTCGCGATAAGCGAAGTTAATCGAACATTAATTGTTTGTTTATTAGTCTGATTAGCTTAACCACGTTCTCCGGCTTTCCAGGCGGCGTTGGTTGAAGCGGATTACTATACGGCCGGAGTGGTGGAATTTCTCCCAACCAGTTTGACGGCGAACGTGAAGGCCTACGTGGAGATTATTCTCTCTGAGAATGCCAGTGCCACGGACATTATTGTCTTTCCGGAGAGCACTCTGAATGGCTCTGGATCCATGACATTTGTGCCCAATCCTGAGGATGAAATTTCACCCTGTCTGAATGATCCCAATGCCACCCACTATGAAGAATTCCTGGTCACCATATCCTGTGCAGCACGCAATGCCAGCAAGTATGTGGTGATCAATCTCACTGAGAAACAAAAGTGCGAGGATGTGCCAGAGGATACAAGACCCTGTGCCTCCAATGGCTTGAATACCTACAACACCAATGTGGCCTTTGATCGCCAAGGTGTTGTGGTGTCCAGGTATCGGAAGGTTCACCTGTACGGTGAGAACAAGAACAGCACTCACTTGCCAGAGTTGAGCACCTTCGAGACGGATTTCGGGGTCACTTTTGGCCACTTTATCTGCTTCGATATACTCTTCTATACGCCGGCCCATCAGCTCATTGAGGAGCAGGGAATCACGGACTTTATCTACCCGGCCATGTGGTTCTCCCAGCTGCCCTTCCTCACAGGTGAGACAGACACACACTCGGGGCTATCAACCTGCTACGGCGGGTTCGTTGACACATGGCCCTTATCTTGGCCGATCGATTACTAATTGATGGCTCTCGCCACCTCTCGAGATGGAGTGCCCTGAACCGATTATGCACAGGGAAAAATACTTGGGTCTCGAGTGGCTGTAATCAGAAATCACTAATCCTCCCCTTCTCCCCCCACCAGCTGTTCAAGTCCAAGAAGGCTGGGCTTACACGAACGATGTTAACCTATTGGCAGCCGGAGCCAGTCGTCCTTTGGTAGGCAATAGTGGCTCTGGTATCTATCATGGACGCAGCGGTGTTCTCACAAGTGTGATGAATCAGGGTTCGGGAGAGCGAGCCATCTATGTGGCCCAGGTGCCCAAGTACACAAAGAGGAGATCCGTCCAGAAGCGAGCCAAGAGGGAAGCTACGATGACCCCTCGTCGAGTGGCCACCAGTTCGAGTTACTTCATGAAACGCGATTACCTGGAGAACTACGAGACAGAGCTACTTGATTTCGATGAGGCAGGCACTGGAAATGTCAGTAGGACTCTTTGCCAGGGTAACTTTTGCTGTCATTTTGACTTATCCTGGAGATCCTTGGTGGCAGAGAGCGGTAGTTACTACAGCTATCGTCTGGCAACCTATGATGGCTGGCGTAATGAGCAGCAAGTAGACGCAAATTACATACGGAATTGTGCATTGTTTGCCTGCTCTGGTCCCACCATCGAGGATTGTGGTAAGTTGCTGACCACCGAAGGAGCAGAACAGCAACCCCGCGTAGCCTTTACCCGACTGGCGATCGAGGTTACCTATCCGGAATCGAGGGAATTCCTTCTTACCCCCAACACCCTGCTGAATAATCTGCTTCCCCTGGAACCCAGTCAGTTCGAGTGGTCGCAGAAGGACTCTGCAGACAGGTGAACTACCAGGAGACCAGTGTCCATGATCTCTCTTTTCATTTGAAATCTTATATCCTTGTACAGTTTCCAGCATGAGGTTTGCTTTGCCTTGCGGGAATCCCTGGAGTTGACCAACTTGCTGACCTTTGCCATTTATGGTAATTACTACGACAACGAGTGCACCTTTGACGTAGGCGATGAGGAGAAGCAACTGTCCTGTGGCTACAGGAACGGCTCCAGTCCGAGAGCGATCCTTGGGGATGGTTGTCAATGCCCTTAGCTTTCCTGCTACTTGTTTGGGCCAGAATATGATAGGACATTCGATATTCATAGTTATCCATAAGTCAAAGGATCTAAATTCAATCTTGAATTGAATCTATCTTTTGTTTTCACGGTGTTGGGTTCTAATACAAGTCTTCGCTTAATGACTTCATTGTTCTCTTGTCCATATTCTTTTTGGAATCTTTATGTTTTACCACTCCTAATGCTCGATATAACCAGTATTTTTCAAAACAATAAAGCGATCAAGCTAATTTAATTCAGCTTAATAGAGTTCCTCCGAAAGTTTATTTACAAACTCTCAGAGCTCCCGAAAAAGAGCTGGTTATCAACACGACATTCAAATTGAAACGTAACTTTGGTTTAAAGGACTAGGCCGACATTAGTTCCAAGCCTGAAAGCTCCCTGGCCAGAAAAACTCCCACAAAGAAGAGGGCATAGCTCTTGACCAGCATCCTATGGAGAATGGAAAAAGATTTAGATTATATGAAGAGCCAATACCACGTTTGTTTTCTTTTTTTGGAATATTATTCTTTGATATTAAGTCTCTCAAATGCATGAACGTTATGCACATTGTTAATTAATAGTCATTGGAACTCACCATTGGAACTCATTCCTGTAGATATTGCGAAAGATTTGGAAGGGAAATGAAGACTTCGCCATTTCGATTAGATTTTTTGGAATACACTTTTCAAACGAACTTATTTGAATGAATTTATCAAGAGAGCTACTTGGAATGTTGACTGAAACAAAATGCGTGGCTTACTAGTTTATATGACTTCGAGTATATGGGTAACTTAGTATGTTTTGTATCCAAAATATTATAAATAATCGAAATTACTTTTTTGCGTAAAGCTAATATTTCCACGACCAACCAACCCAATAAAGCCATTAATAACGTAAAACAAATACCGCACTTCGAATCTGGTAATTCCCAAAGTTCCACATAGTTTTTGCAAATGTTTCAAATGCGAAAAAACTATGCCATAAAGTCCTTCAATCGATGGCCACAACAACTGAAAACTGGGAAACCTTGTAACTCGTTTGGGTTCAACTTTTAACAGCCACCATGCCATGCCACCTTTTGTGGCAACCATTTAGGTAATTAGCGAATTACGCACACACCCAAACAGGAGCACACGTTTTCCCAACTTTTTCCTGTTGTATTTTGTTTACCCTCCATATACATTTTTGTTGTAATTTTTTTTGTGGAAAGGTAACCAAAGTTTTAGCTGGCTTGAAGGTAAATTCAACTTTTTGTTTTGTTCTACCAGAATAAATTTCCGCATTTTTTTTTTTGTTTGTTTGGAATTTTTCGTTTATCAAATTTTCATGTTTTTCCGGGAACAGCGCCCCACGGCTGTGTGCGTGTGTGTTTGTGTGTGAATGGGGAAACTGGTTGTTGTCGTAGTTACGAGCAATTTTTATCCAGCATTTATCCATCACTTAGCTACGAGGACGCCACAGCGTCTGGACCAAAAAACTAAGCTCCACTCGCAGCTAAGCGCCGACAAATACACGCAGGACCCACGCATATATATCCCCGACTATATATACATATATATTGGGGGCACTTGATACGCTTATTACGTCGCAGCTAACGTCTTTTTATGACACTCTCCTCTCTGCCAATTTTATGGTTCCAAGCCAGTCATCCCGGCAGGACTGGCTAGCTAGCGACTTTATTAGATTAAACATGTTGTGCACGTCGCCTTCATCGCCCGAAGCCTCAGACGTCGAACAGGCCACAGAGTTTGAACTGTGATGCTGTTTGGAACTAGTGACTTGGTGGTGACTGTGACACAAAGTCACTGGTTGGGAAAGGCAATGATTTTTGGTAGGAAAAGAACTTGGTATTTAGCCAAGGATTAGCTGGGGTAATGAAGGGAAATAATATACCTTTTTTGACTTCACTTTTAGATAAATATTTAAAAAATGTGACTGGGAAAAAGTTATATAGATCTAGAGGATCTTTTTTTTTTAAGAAACCTAAATCTACAAATTGCATATGTATAAGAAAATATATTTCGTAATAAAAACATCACTTTCAAATATGTTTTTTTATACAAGTTTGAGGTTTTAATATCAACATATTTATCATAATTATTTAGGTTTATTTAACCTTAATATAGGTAAACCCTAAACAATATTAATACAGTAGATAGACAAATTTTACTAAGTTCGATATATTCTAAAGTTTGTAAAATCATCTAAAGATTTAGAAAAATCTAACTATATAAATCCACCAAAAATCTGGTCACGTTAAACGCGACTTTGCCTCATCGCTCATGGGGTAAAAACCCAGGCACATGTCCACATGCTATACCCAAAGCTACATCTCTCCATCCTTTTCTCTGGTGTATGTTTCTGTCCCTATCTACCGCAACCCCTCCAGTTTATTGCCCAAACTATTAGCTGAGCATCAGCTTTAGCCCGTTGGCCATGTTCCTGCCAGATAAGTCGAATATCCTTCATCATGTGCTCCAGCTTCTACTGCTAGCTGCGAGCTCCGGTTTTCGTCTTTCCTTCTTTCCGTCCCTCTTTCAGGAGGAGCTTTCTGACGATTTTCCACCCCTTTCCACTTTTCCCTTTGGCCAACTGCTATTGACAGGCCAAGTAAAGCGTTTCGGAGTCGTCTGCAGGAGTAGTTTGTCTGTGCTCTTTGGTCCGCCGGCTGCCTTCAATTGGCAAGACCCGAAAACAATGTTGCTAATAACTTGACTCCACCCCCTTGTCTGTTCTGTGAGGGGGCGGTACAATGGGGGCAAACATGATAATAAATAAAACGCCTTTGGGTAGAAATTAAAATAAATTGACTGCCTGGGACAAAAGGCCGCAACGTCAACTGTTGGCTGCCAAACATAAATTAGACCACCAAACGAAATTATTTCTTTTTTTTCTCATTTTCGGTATATATTTTGTACACTTTATGGGGAAAGTACTTTAATTTAGAGAAGAATTAGGTTAGCAGCATTAAATTGTATTTGTTTCATAGAGAAAAAAAACCTCAAGGATTAATAATAAGATTTACTAAATAATTTTTCAAACTATTAAAAAGATTAGAATACATTTAAGAGGTGTATTATTTGAATGTAAATTAATATAATATTTATATAACCCTAAACATTATATAACTATTTAAATGTACTAAATTTGTAGATGGAATTAAACTGCAAGAAATTAATTTACCATTAATAATTTACAAATAAATAAACAAGAAACTTCCAAGGCAATCAATTTAACAGAATCAAGTTTCTGTAATTTTTGCTTTGAATATCTTTGCATTTTTTACAAAAATCTAACATTCCATGTTTAAATTTTCTGGTAAAATATAATTATTTAAAGGGTATCACAGCATTCGTTGCCTTAAATTTCTTGTTAAAATCCCTGATATTTTATTTTCGGTTTCATTTCTGTTTTGGCTTAAAAGCGCCCTGCAGAAATCAGAAAGTCATGTGCCAGGGTCGCTGTTTTCCATGGCAGTTGTTGCCGTGTTCATGTCCTCATGTCCTGGCTCCTTCCACGTCCTGTGTGCCTTATGTCCTATGTCTTATGTCCGGGTTTGTTACGTCGACGTCAACGTCAGCAACTTGAACGCAAGTAGACCGCAGGGCATGCTGTGTTCCTGTTGCTCATCTGTAGCTTCGTCCTTGTCCTGTTCCTGTCTCCTGCCTTTCCCCCTGACTCCTCCGCTGGCTTGCTTAAATTTTACACCCACACAGTTATTATTAATGGTGGGGAGGGGATTCCCCCCTCTGCGGTTTGCTGTTGTTGTCAGAAACATTTGAAATGTCAAAACTTTTAGCTCCTCCCCCGCCATCGGTGGCCTGCGTTTGACTGTCTGTCTGTCTGTTTTCTAAGGTGAGCTGGCAATAGCATCAGTCGAGAGAAAATAAAGAAAAAAGAAACGACGTTAACGCTTAAATTTTTAAATTCACTTAAAAAATTAAAAATCATTTGTGTGCCCCACGCGATGGGTCGCATAAGAATTTTACATTTCTCTCCCTTATTTTTTAAATATTTAAAGGCTTCCATTTGTCATGGTGCCTTGGGCATTGTTTGTGCGGCTTTTAGCGTGACTTTGTCTCGGCTAAAAGTTGAACAGAATTAAATCGAGTATTCCCGGGGATGCTCGGCGGCATCTTGTTCACCTTTGTGTTCTCCTTTTGGCAGGTGATTTTTCTCGGGAATTGTGTGCAGGACTTCTAGGAATTGGCAAACGGTAATTTGAGCCTCAAGTTAATACGGTTTTTTGGCCTTGGACAAGCTTCAATTGGCCGCAGGATAATTTTTTCTCAGTTGTTTCTGTTTCCTTCTTTGTTTCTGTTTTATATTAGGAAAACAAAAAAAAGCAATGGTGAACTTGGATGAATTACAGATGAGCTGAGAGACGACACAGGTCAGTTTATGTACATAACCTTAAGGACATTTTTCCCGAGGCTTCAAGACTTAAAGATTCGCTGATTCCTTAAAAATTACTTTATTTGTACTCGGTACTCGTTTTATTATTATTATTCCACTGAAATATACTATTTGACTCCTAATTCTATTAAAGAAAGGGTTAAATATTTTATGTAAATGCCAAGAAGGTCATACATTTTCTTGCATAACTTTCCATTAAAATCCATAAGTCAAATCACGGCTGTTCCGAAATTTTCGTGAAAAGAGAAATAATTTGAATTAGGAAAGCTATGGCATGTTCTTTATCTATGGATCTAGTGCTCCAATGCTCACGACTGGCCGCTTCATTAGTACCTAATGACGATTCAACTCGTTGCCAATCCTCTCCGGTGGCATTCCGACTCTGATTCCAAAAACCCGAATTCCGGCAGACCGTCATTAAGCGACGGAGCACGGCATATGAAAAATGAAAGTCAAATAAAGGCAGGTGGAAACAAAAACACACACACACACACACGTCGTCCCCGCACACCCACACAAAAAGAAAAACCCCCTCAGGAGTGGGAGGATTTCCCCCTCTCGCCTGGGACTTGCTGCCTGGCCTGGCTTGGCCAAAACATTGATTTCCCAAGACTTTTCAGGCACACAAAATTAATTACCTAACCTAAAAACGCAGCCCAACAACATGCAGAGGAAAATCAGGAAAAAAGAAAGAGGAAAATAAAGAAAAATGAAGGAGGGGAAATTATGTAAGCCAAGAGGCGGCTCCTGCTACTCGATGCTGATAGATTTTCCCTCTCGATTTTCCGGCTCGCTTTGATTTGGCTCGGCTCTTGGCTCTTGGCTCTTGGCTCCATGGCTTGGCGTTTTTCTGCTGACTCATTTGGGCATGACAACGGCCCAAAATGAATGATATCGAAAATCGAAATCAATAAATGAAATTGGTCAAATCAATTTGGCAACAATTGCAATTTTGTGTATGGGTCTGAAGCACACAGCAAGAAAGGAAACTAGAGCACAAAAATTTGATTAAAGTTTTTCGTTTTTTCCCCCTGTTTGTTGGCCATAAAAAAAGTGATTGGAATGGAAAATGAGCTTGGCCTGTGGAAAAAGGCCAAGAAATTTGTTGCTGGGAATTAAGGCAGAAGGCAAAAACTATTCAAAATGCAGCTCTCAGCCCTGTTTTGAGTGAAAATGGAAAAGTTTTTATATCAGTGTAAGTTAAGTTAAGTTTAAAGAGTACATTTCATTATTTGAAAAATCTTTTTTTTATCGAATTAATATAATGCTCTATACTAATACATAAATAAAATAGTGTCTTTGTGAATCAAATTTACTAATGTGCCTATACAAAAACGTATTATTTGAATTATTTTGTAATTTATATAGTAATTATTTCTTTCCTATATTTATTCCCTTTCAGGGTATTATAATATAGGTCAGAAGCGCTTAACGCTATGAAAAAATCATTTTCGACCCAATAAATCATATTATATGTGTTCTTGATCAGCATCATCAATTCAAACTAGTCTCTCAGTTTTAAAGCTATTAAAATTAAACTTTGCGGTTAGCCCCTTATATACTCTTACTACTTTATATGTCGGAACGGATCGAACGACTATATCATATAGCTGCAATAGAAACGATCGTTAAGTGTATAGGAATATGCAGTACTTTCTCTCTCTGCCTCTCTTTCTTTTTCAGCAGGTCTGTCTCTCTCTATGTATCTCTTGGGATAACATAGCTCTTTCTCTCTCGCTCTCGCTCTCACTTTCTCTATTCTCTATTCTTCTCTTTACTCATGGACTATAAATAGAGGCACTGCACTCGCTCTGACTTTAGTCTGTCCGTGGCCTCCCCACTGTTAACATCTATAGTGATAGTGATAGTGATTGTGATTGCCCTTCGACCCATAGAATATCACCTCACCAATGCAACTCCTCTGAGTTATGATTTTATTTATTATATTTATTTTATTTATTATATATATATTATAAATTATATTGATTTATAACAATTGTTTCAAAACTGACCCAGACCTTGGCGCCAAGCGTTTCCCTACTTCATTATACCCTTGCAAGATATTATTACTTCAGTCAGAAGCATTAAATGCAGTGAAGTGAAATATAAATATTATTGATCAGCATCAACTGCTGAGTCGATCTAGCTATGTCCTGTCAAAAAATTACATTTTCGAAATTTTTTCAAATTTTTCAAAATTTTATAAGGAAGACATCGTTAAAATAGTCTAAAATTGGTAAAAATTTTAATTTTCTAAAATTATAAATTGTGTATGAAGATTTATTGACTTAGTAAAAACTAGCAATGGAAATCTTTCCGAGTCGAAATTAATGTTTTTTTTTTTTTGCGAAGTTATGACATTTTGAATCTTTAATATCTAAAAATATTGACAAAAATCGAAAACATTTTATAATAAATAATTTATTGATTGCACTAATTGAATTTTAGTATCTTAAATAAAATTTTGTTGATTTCTTTTTTTAATGTTTGTATTACTTTATATCCCCTTTACATAAACAACTGTGTTGCTTAAACCATATTTACGGAGACTTTTACTGTCAAAATATTATTATATCGCCAATAATTTTATTTTTTTTAATCAAAAAATAGTATATTTTAGGAGTGTATTAATTAGTAATAACAAATTCTAACCAAATTTCAAAAATATCGGTGAATAACCATAAAAAAAGGCTTTAAAATACTTCTTCAGATACTGTTTGGTGGATGCCCATAAAAGTAGGCAATACTTTAGAAACTTCAATGTTTGTGAAGGATGAGCAGATTGTCTCCTTATATTTAGTTTGAATCCTTGCTTATTTATCTAGATTTATATTTTTGAAAGATTTTTATTAAGTGCATTCACTAACCTCCATTGCCGGATATCAGAACGATGACAACGACGAGCATGCTGAGCATTATCAGCGCTCTTTGGCAGCCGCTGCAGTCGAAGTGAGCGCCAATGCTGCCGCTGGGTCCGCTGGAGTTGCTCCTGCTGCTGCTGCTGCTGCTGCTGATGCTACTCCTGCTCCTAGTGATGAGTATATTGCCTCCAATTCCAGCGATGGAGGTGGAGCAGCTGCCTGGCCAGAGTCGCGTGCAGTGTGCGCTGATTTCTGGTGGGTCCGAGGGCGCCAGCTCTCGTTGTTGTGGCTGCCACCTAACTTTGCATATTGTGGCTCGTTGCTTTAAATTCGTTCGTTGCTTTCGCTGCTGCTGCTGCTGCTGGCGCATTTCCATTTGAAAAGTTGCCATAATATTTCACTGGCGAGCGAGTGGGCGTGGCGGCTTCCCTTGCTAGTTTTCCTTGGGAAACCTATTTGAAAATGTGTTTGCGGAATACCGGGGGGGCGTGGCTGGTGGTGGCCTGATTAGCGCCTGCCATCATCATCGTCATCCTGCCGCGATGCGTGAAATTGCCGCACAACAACAACAAAAATGAGGCCAAAAAGGGCAAATATCCTTGTAGGTGGTGTCCCTTTTGGTTTTGTCTTTGTTTCTGCGTAGTGTGATTGTAGTTGTTGCTGGACTAACTACTTTGCATTGGTTCCGCTCGATGGATGCTGACAAATCGCCGCCATTTTCTCAGCAATTTATATTCTATTTAATTTCAACTTGGAACACAATTCCGGCTGGCTATCACTTCATCTTCATTAGCCGTTGTCCGCCATCCGGGATTGCAGGATGGCTGCCAGGATTCAGCCTGCGGAGGAAAAACAGTTTTTTTTGGGGCGTTAAAAATGTTTGGAATTTCATTAAAAATTCAAACGTCAAAGTCAAAATAAATGGAAATTTGTGTGTTTGTGTTTGTGTTTGTAGTACGCCTCGGTCGTCGGCACGTGCTGTCGTCCTTGCCAAAAAAAAATAAAAATAAAATATAAGGGAACCCCCTGCCACGGCATCCTCTCCTCCACCTGAAACAAGGACGTATATTCTCTTCCTAAATATATTATATTATCTGGATGCGCGTGGCTTGTCTGTCTTTCCGTATTGGCTCTGTTTGCTTTATGAATGTGTTTCCAGTTACTGGCGACAACAGTTTTCTTTTTCCCCTCGCTCTGTATTTTTTTTGTTTATTTTTATTTCGCAGAAATTCGAGCTACGCTGGCAATATCGTAATGTGATTTTTATTAAAGGCAACAAATAATAAATTAAATGCGCCCAAGGCAGAGTTGTGGAATTTCTAATTTACAGAAAAACGTTAAGGGGACTGACTGTCCAGCTCAGAAATTCTTTAGGTGATTTCAACAAGAAAGAATTTCTAAAGATATTTATCTAATTTAAGGGGAGTGCATTTGTTTAATTAGCTTTTGAAAATGCTATGGATTTTTAAAGAAGAAAATGGTTCCAGATTGGGGGATTCTTGGTATTATTTCAGTTGACACATTAAGACTCAAAATTTAATTAAATTAAAGATTAAACATTTCTTTCAACCTAATATATTATAAGTATTAAATATAACAAATTCCTGAGACAAAATTTCTATGATTTCCAACCCAATTTATTGTCAAAAGTTGCTGAAAAACATATAGAAATAGCATAATGTTCTGTAAACTTCTTGAAACCCAAACAAAACTGCTCTCATTTACTACAAATAAATGTGAAAAAATATATTTTAAAAAGTTGTAAATTATATTAAAAGTTTCGGAGGACATTAATCTAAGCTTTGGCTTGAAACTTTTCCCATAAATCCTTGCAATTTCCACGATCGGCAAAGCGCAGGTCCTTTTGCTCATCGCTAATGCTGAAATAACTTTTCACTCGATTCGGCATTCATTTGGACACGACCCTGGAGAGCACTTTCATTCCATTTTCCGACAAAAACTTTCCGCTAATGTCTCCCAGCGCTGATCGTATTATGCCTATTTACAACTTTCATTATTCATTTTTGCAAAACTAATGACAACGAGAGACGAGAGATACAATGTCCCTGACAGCATCCAAAATAATGGGGCACAAAGCGTTAAACAAAAGGAGAGAAATAAAAAACTGGAATGGAGAATGAAACAAAAACCCAGGCAGGACTCGTCGTCGTCGTCGTCACAGTGTATAACTAACAGCAAAAGTTTCATTTAAAACTGTCGAGCTGAGCGAGTCCTGCGAGTCCCCAAACTGAAACTTTTCAACCTACCACCACCCATGGCACTTTAAAAGTTGCGAAAAAATACCATCCGTCCATCGGGGGGCGGAGATCGCAGGTCCACAGGGGTAGAAAAGTCATCAAGTGCAATGTCAGAGCTTGACAAAATATGCAGCACAGCCTCCACCTCCATTCCCCTAGTCCATCCGTGGCGTCAATGCGTGGCAAATCCAAGGGAAATGTGCCACAAAACTTTGGCCGGTCAACAATAGATGTGGCGCGGCGGGGAAAACGAGAACGAGATGGAAAACTGTCGAAAAGTGGCATAGGAAAAGCTTCTCCTGGCTTCAAGGTGATGCCTGCCGTAATTTTTCCCTTTTTTTCTCAAGCACTTTTTGTTTTTTGTTGGGCTGCTGCTGCCGGTGGTTAGTTTTAATTAGTGCCAAGGTCCGTCGAGGGTTAAGCACGTCACGCTGATGGCCGGGCATTAAGTTGTAAGTGCCAGGGCGTGACCGGCTAACCCAACGCCCACCAAACCCCTACTTTAACTAACACACAACAAAAAATAATAAACAATATGCACCTAATTTGATTTAACAATTTGTTTAAATATTTGCCAAGATAGTATAAAACTGGGGAATATATCTTAGAGTCTGATTGACATTTTAGATTAGTTTAAAAAACCCTGCAAAAGTGAAACATACTAGCTACACTTGTTTCCTGACAAAAGATTTATAGCAAAAAACACTAAAAAATATTTAAATAGTAGCAAAAAAGTTTCCAATTGTAAAAGAGTTTATCTTAAGGAATAATAAAAGGTATAAGAGCTCGAAAATTACACTTAAAGCTCAAAAACCTAGTATTCTTTTCTATCTATATCTATAATTATTTCCTTTAGTCACTCAGTTTAACGATAACCAAAGGACGAGAAAAGATAATCCTGAATCTTAAATATCTGTTTCTACATTTTTAACTCCAAAATTCAAAAGGATAAACCTCATTACTCTCAAAATGCAATCAGGTTTTTTTCCCAGTTTACCTGGAACCCAGGTCCAAGTGCCATGCATAATTAAAGCTCGACGTCTCATTATAATTTCCATTAAAAAGTGAGTGGCCGCCACCCAAACAACAGCCCCAGGGGGGTTGGGTCGAAGGATGAGTTTATCCCCTTGGCAAGGACTATTGAAAGCATTGACTCGTCCTTTGATGGGCCATCGATGCGTCGACATTTAAAGCGACAGCTGTCACGTCAAAACAAAAGTGGAACACGATGGGGACAGTAGCCACGCCGATTAATAAAATATTCATGACCAGAGTAATTATGTTTGATTAACACCCATACCAACAAATATATATATATATATATATATTCATATAGATTTGCGTTTTAATTATGTCTTGCAATTGCAATTCACCTCTATTATGATTTTTGCGCTTAACAATTTTGCATCTTTTGTTTGCTTTTGATTTCCTGCTATTTGTTAAATATTTGCATAATATTTCATTCATTCAAAGTTGTGTGTTCATATTTTTGTAAAAATTGAAATTAAATAAATACAGTAAAGTAAGCACAATGAAATCCTTTGTGTTGCATTTTCATTAAATATTTAAATATTGTGTTGAAGGTAAAATGCAATAAAAAAATAATAATATATATATTGCAAGCTGATTAACTTGCAGGCGAGGGCAGAGTGCAATTTGGGGTTAAAAAGGCCTCAAAATATATTAAGCGGTAAAATGTGATTGACAGAAAGCTATTTTCATTATAATGCAAACTAGGCGAGTGCTAAAAATACATTTAAAATATCCTTCATGGTCAGATTGTTAATGTAATCATAAACCAAATGATTATATAGATTTTTTATAAAATATTTATCATAAAATTTAATAAAAGATTCTGGGAAAAAAAGGTGCAAATTAAGCTTTTTTTTGCAGCTTTGTCAGACTGTCGCTAAAAATATTCATGCAAATATTTTCGAGTTTATTTACTCTTTGGCTTTGGGTTTATAAAGTTTAATATAGAAATTGAAAGGGCTTTTGTTTGTGCCCTACTTTATTTCATTTTTTTATTTCAACTTTCCGCAATTGGGTTGCTCACACAAACATTTTATAAAAATATTCCCCTATATATGTTTTATGTGAGAACCTCGCATGTTAAAGTAAGCTTATGAATTTTTTGGGGGGACTTAAGCTGATTTGGGGCAGACAATGTATGGGGAGAAAGTCAAGGCAACGAAAAAGGTTAAGTACAATAAAAATAATTTATGTATTCGGGTAACTTTCTGAAGCAGAAAGTTCAATTTTTCAGCCGTAAGACATGGCCTTGGTGTAGCAAGAGGTAAATGAAATCTTCTCTTTTTTATTTCTATTTGTGGGAAGAAAATCTTTTTGCATAAAGAAGCACCCATTTAACTTGTCAGAGAAGCTGTTTTATTTTTTTATGCTGTAAATAAAGGTGACAGCAAACTGGGCAATAGGTGTACAAACATATTTTCTAAAGCAATCTAAATAATGGATCTGAATGGTGAAATTGGAAGGGTAAATGTATGCCAAGAGTGTGATTTTTTGGGATTTAAATATATTGTGGTAGGTCATTATGAAAGGATTCTATTATCGGTAGAGCTAAGTCGTTATGCCATATCTAGTAAGAGAAGAATTCAAGCTATAAGTATTAATCACCAAACGTAGAAATACAAATATTTTAAGAGGAATAACGGTATTCAAAATATAACTAGAATATTTAAAAAGAATATTTCAAAGACTACGATTATAAGTTTCCATGATATTGTCATAGTTATCCGTATTAAGGTTCTACCAAAAAATCGTAATATATATAAGAATGTTAACCAGTTAACACCCTAAACTAATTAAGCCATTTCAATTTACCCCTAGACCTTGTATCTTTCCTTAATTAATTTATGATTTCTCCTCAACCTTTCTGCCTAATTATCATTCAAAGCCATCTTGAAAATACATATTTATCGTCGGCTGTCCATCATTGAGTCTGATTAGCAGGTCTTTGGCACTTTCATTAGCATAATCCAAAAATAAACGTATCTCAATCCTTTCGATACACGCCTGTCAATAGGTTGATTGGAGCGATTCTGAAGCCCAAGAACACCTGTGTGTTTAGTCACGTGTGTTTATACCCAAGGCAATTCTTGGAATTTTCATAATTAAATTGAGTTCACCATCGGAGGCCCATCCTTTTCCACCACTTTTGCTGACCACAGCACAGTGGAACAACAACGAGAAAATTAAACAATAAACAAATACACAATACAGGGGGCCACCCGTTGCTTCCTCGCACCACCCACTCAAACCACCGCCCAAAAACCACTCAGTTTCCCCCGCCACCAAACAATGACACAATTGTGTGGATTTTTCCTGCCTCTTTTTTCCTGAACGCTATTTGGGTTTGGGCATTACACGATTATCGGCGTTAACTAGACAATAAAATAAGAAATTATCGGATAATTAGCTCATAAAATTAATCGGGCTTACCTTTACGCTTTGTCCTGCTTTTTTTTTGTCCTCTTGTGGTTTTGCTTTGTTGATTGATTGAATTTTAACTGAATTAAAGTTTAATCAAAAGTTTTAAAGGTTCCAATTTTCTCTTTCTCTCTTTTTTTATTCACTCAATTTTTTTTTTTAGCTGCCAGAAAAAAGGGACTTTAATATTAAGCTTATCTTCTCCCACGAAAAGTCTTTAGAAATAATTTGATTTTGACCTTTTTTTAACGTATATCAAGGATATCTCAGCCGTGTGATTCTCGTATTTAAGCCATTTCTCGCCTCTTCCCTTTTTTATGCAAATATTTTTTGGTTAAGCAAAATGCGACCCTAATTTATGGTCCCAAAGGGAGCCAACCCAGAAAATAAATAAAACTTCAAAGGGCAACAAAAAATCGCAACATTTTCCGCGAAATTTAAAAGGAAACACACACAAATATTTCCATAATTATTTCTTAAATTCTTGGCCTCTGTAAAAAAAAGTTATATGCCAGGACGACCTTCGCAAACAAAGAGGAAATTTGAGGAAAACAAAGTTGAATAATTTATTTTGTGCACTGCAAAAAAGTCAGTTGATTATGTTGAAATTCTAATGCAGAAACACATTTAGTTATTTCAAACTAATTTTTTATTGAAAAAAAGGTGTTTCAACTTCTATATTAAGTGGGATTTATAGTTTCTTGAGCAGCTTTTTTAATATTGTTATTATTTTAACTGTGTCTATGTTTTGTATTTTATTTTCTTTGATTTATATTCCACATCCGCCGTGTGGCCTTGGACAGGTGAGAGCTGAGCTAAGGGATCAGCTGGCGCAGATGCACTTGATGCAGATGTCCTTGCTTTAGCTCTAGTTTGGTATTTTAGTTTTGGTATTTAAGTATTCACAGATCGCTTGGCACTTTGGCACACATTCTTCGGGGTTTTTTTTTATATTTCACTGGAGTGTTGCATATTTAATTTTTGCATCCTGACACGCATGGCTCCATTTTCCGTATGCTTTTTCCTTCTATTTTCATATACATATACATTTATCCTTTTTTCACATTGCGTGCGTATATCTCACATTGGCTCATTTATTATTTACCGTTATTGCACATTGAACAACTTTTACTTTCGACTACCGCACCCGTTCGTGCGTATGTGTGTGTGTGTTACCGTTAGGGCGTGTATATATGTGTGTGTGTTTGGTATATTGAGGTTGTCCTCCGAAACAGGACTTTCCGCCGCTTTCCACCGTGCAAACGAACCGAACGAGACGACTGCGCTGAATACACTGAAAAGCCACACGAACGAAATCGAACGGAAAAGCGAGGCTCCAAAGCCAAAGCTTCTGGTTTTCCCCTTTCTCTCGCCGCCAGAGAGTGAGCTTTTCCGCCTAGCACAGTGGGGCAAAATGCATTCGTCCTGCGAGCACACGTTCCAGTCGTAACACACTCTCTCTCTCTCTCGCGAACTTCTTTTTCGAACTTCCCGAGGGCTAGCAGGTCGTCTCTCTTAAATTTGTCGCTCTCTTAGGTACAGCATTCTACGACCATTTGTTGACATCCTCTAAGGAATTCGTCCTTCATCTGGGGGCTTTAAAATTTATTAACACTTTTCCATTTAATTGATTACATTGCATTTTTTAGCTGAGTATTATGTTAAACACGGCATTAGTTTTTGAAAAACTTAACAATAAAAGCATCCTTCAATCAGAATTTCATACAAATCAATAGTAAATCTTTCTAAAAAGGTACCTCTTAATTTATTTCATGATTTTCGGTTGTAAGTTTTTATTTAAATATACTCAAATTTTGCTACCTTTCAGCTATACATTAATTTAATTTTAACCTTTCGCAAATCCTGAATTTAAGGAATATTTATATTTTATTTCAAACAATAAAACCTAAAACCCACGCAAAGCCACCTTTGAAAAGTGTCGCCTAACACAATCTGATACTTTAAATAATTTAAAGGGGTGAAAAACCAAGCTCAAAAGGTCAATGTCAGTTATTCATCTTGTCTTTGGGAAAATGTAAAAGACTAAAGATGATGGTGTTAAACTGAGATTAAAATCGTTTACTAACAAGTTAAATCTAAAAATAACCATTAAAAAACGACATTTATTTAACAGAAGTTAAAAAAAGAAGACAATTCATATTTTGGGGTATTATGCTTTTTATAAATTTATAAAAATTTATGGGAACTGCTTTATATATTGTTCCTTGGTTTTAACGTTAAGATGCTTTTTATACTATTGCTTTTTAACTTTTATGTGCCCCACCTTTATATTGAGACTCCATTAAAGTTAAAGTTTTTAAATAATATAGTATTCTCCATTTTCAGTTCAGTTTCCTATACGTTGACCCCTATCCTTCGGAGGAGGTTCTGGTAATGTGGGTGGTGCTGGGGAAAAATGGGAAACGGAAAAACGAAGCAGAGTGAGACAGTTGAAATAGGCAGCTCCAGACACTCGGCCTGCTTAAGCACTTAGTGCACATTAAGTGCCTGGGATTTGGATTGTATGCTGGCCGACTGCCCAATCCATTCCATGGCCATTCTTGAGCAACCAAAAGTCCCATCTTCCTGCTTCAGCGGCTCCTTCGTCTGTCTGCAAAGTTAACTGACACTTACACTTGCACTCTTCGGCGAAATCAAATGCATTCGTTTCGTTCTCTGGTCTCTCTTTTTTATTCAAGAGGCTTTCCCAGCTAACTGGCCCTGAACGATTGGCATTAAACGCCTTCCACCCCATTTGAGGGGGGCGGTTGGGGGAGAGTAAGTCCATAAAATAAATGCCGATAAATGGTAACTGAATTAAAACGAGCAGAAGGTTGAGAATTTTCTGACATTAGATTGAAATGAAATGAAACAAAAACATTTGAGCATATTTCCTTACAAATTGGAGCATGAAAAGTAAGCACTTTTCTTAAGGAAAAATATGAATTTTTAGCCATGTCACGGAAATATATCTATAATACCAATATAGCCATATTTAACCCATTAAAAGATTACATTTTAGTATGCCATATATTTTAATTACCAATCATAGTCCTCGCATACCTCTTGCCCCATCTAACACTTGTACATAAAACGAATCTTGGCCCAATCACCTTCCGAAGGTCCACGCACCTGACCCATTTCCCTCTCCACTGTTTCACCATTAATTAAAGCCCGAATTGTTGGTTTCGAAGGATCCTTGGCAAAGGCATTCTTTGAGTAATGCATCACACTCTGATAGTCATAGGGAACATTGAAGGTGGTAGTTCGATCCTGTGCCATGAACTGTGACCAATACTTTCGCGGTATGTTGTCGTAGTCAATAACCACATACTCATCACGATCGGGACGACTTTGTTCGTGGAAGAGTCCCATTAGGTGAAGAGTTTCGTGTTGGATTACAGCCGGCATGGTGAGGCATTTCTCGTTCAGAAGGACATCGTGGGAGCCGAAGGATATCGGCTGATAGCCCACACGGGTACCGCACATATTCGGCGATTTCTTGAAGCTCACATATCGCTTTCCTCCGGGTGGAGAGCCTTCGAATTCCTCGAACTCTACGCAGGTTTGTTGACCGAAACTTGCCATCGCTGTCCTAACATTGGCCACTTCCTGTTCGGTATAGTCCTCCGAGATTCGATAGTATATCTTGTTTCCGGGCCAACGTTGGCGCGGGGATTGCAAGGCATTACGTGTCTTGGCCTCCGCCTGATCGTCATCCACATGGATCTCGTTATAATAGTTCTCGTAGGACTCGATGCCCTGGGAAGCCACCAGGAGAGGTCTCAAAGTCACCACAAGAAAAAGGAATCCAACCGATTGGAGAAACATTTCTGTAACTTGTGAGCAGTCTAAAGTAGAAATACCTCTTTTATACCCATTTCATTTAAATTTAATCAGTTTTATTTCTGTCCCGAAAGTGTTTTTTAAATTAAGGTTTTACATTCAGACAATCAGAGTCAGACATATATATATAAATAAACATTTTTCTGGGCGAACCTAGAACACTGTGCAACAAAAACCACTTCGTAATACTTCCAAGTGAATATTTTATTAATTAAAATATGAACTCTTCTTTATATATAAGCTAAGCTCGAAATATTGAAGCTGGCAAAAGCTCGAGGTATTGTCGGTGAAACTCATTTAAAACAGATTTTTAAATCAAAAAATCTTTCTTGAAACTTATAATTAACACTAGAGTTGTTTTTTTAATAGCTGGAACGTCCAAAGAACACCTTGTTGCACAATGTTGTTAGTCAAACAAACACACACATTTTAGGTTTAAACCTGCTTTCCATGAAGGAGTGTTGTATGGAGCCAAATTTGACTTTATCCGCTTCCTAAGACCTATATGGCTTAGTTTGCTATTTCAGCTTTTGCATAGTTTAACATAGATAAACAATAGTTAGACGCTTGCATTGTTGAACTGCATTTCATTACACATTGTTGGCTAGAAAAGTGATAATGACTTGGACTTTGCTGCATTAAATTGAAATCAATTTGTTCTAAAATATTCTAAATTCTAATAAATTCTTGATGAATAGGTATTAAAGCAAGATCCAACTCTGTTCTTTCTTTTCGTTAATTCTTTTTTTACTCAATTAATTTCCACTAGAATTAATATTATTCTAGAATTGTGTTTAAAGCCTTCTCTACTTCATATATTCAGCAACTGTTCCTAGTTCCTTCAAGAAGTGTACACTTTTTCTAGCCATCAGTGTAATCTTTCAAATAATTTAAAGATTTTCCTTCAAAAATATCCAATTTAGTCTCTAAAAGTTATTGCTTTGGGTGGCACCACGTAAAAACAAATAGTTAATTTTTTGTTAATTACATTTTGTATATTTCCAAAACTTAGTTTTCTCGTTTATAAACAAAACGCATCACTTGTGTGTGTGTGTGTGTCTGTGAGAGGTTGGTGGCCGGTATTTATGTTTTTTGTTTTTTAAGTTATTATTTTGGTTTTCCTCGGCTTGGGCGTGATCGCTGCAGCTTTGAGGAGTTGCCGGCCTTGTGCGCCGGTTAATTAATATTAAGCTGCTCGATCACGCCCAGGCTTTGGGTCATTTATATATATATATATATTACATGTACATTCAGTTTTAATTATAATTCATATATAAAATAGCAAAGTAGCAAGAACACATAATTACAAAAACAAAGTTTGCAACACATTTTTTGCAAAGCAAAGCAAAATTCAAAGACAGTAGGTTATCTCTTCTAGAAGTTTTCATTGCATTATTCCTTCGTTTTGTTGCTGTTTGTTTGCTTCATTGTAGTGGCTTCTGTTTTGTTATCGTTGTTAGTGGTTTTGACGCTCATCGTCGTTTCATCAGCCTGATCGGTTGTCCATCGATTCCCCAGGCACTTCGCTTGCTAACATCACAAATCAGTTTCCAGTCCGTTTCCACTTCCATTCAGCATAGTTTCGAACTCTCTCTCCATCTCTAAATATACAGTGTGTGTAGACGGTAGTCGTTTAGTATTACTTTAGGTATTATTTAATGGATGGCGGGCGGGCAGGCGATTGAGCGATTAAATGAATTGAGTGCTTGACTCTCGTTCAGTCCTCGTTCCCGATCCTGGCCTCTAGTGTAGCTCGATGAACTCGAACAGCGTTGCCGGCACCGTGTCCTCATAGCGTATGTCATGTTTCTTGATCGTCCTTGCTGCCAGGCACGCCAGCGTCGTATACTTCATAGGATCGATGACCTTATGCATCGGCGTGGGAGCCAGCAGACTCTCAAATGTCTCGCCCGCATGGTTTTTGGTGTCCTGCAAAAGTTAAGCAATGTTTTAGTATGAATTTTGGGTTTTATTATAATTAATGTATACCAAATGCGCTCCGCCTTCTAGGAGAATGTGAGACAGGGGCTCCACATAGGGCTGCATGGTGGCCAGATGCAGGGGGGTATTGCCCGCATCATCGATGGCATTCGGATCTGCTCCCACTTCCAGCAGGGCCTTCGCCAGCGTCACTGATGGAAACTGACAGGAGGGATAGCGGCCGGCCAGCGTGCCCTCCCGATAGCAGGCATAGTGCAGGGCCGTTCGGTCAAACCGAACGCGCACCTTCAAGCGATTCAGGCGGTAAAGGGCTCTCATCACTTGTTGACGCATCTCCGGGGTCAGGGTCTCGGTGTCCAGCAGCGAGCTCAGCAGACAGCCTATGTGAATGGCACTTATCATGGTGCAACTCAGGGCATTTGGATCACGATTGCAATCGTGCTGATGCGCTGAAAGCAACGTCGTCGAAGAGGTGGATGATGAGGAGGAGGAAGATGATGCCGAGCATGATGGCGACTTGTCAGCGGTGGGCAGCTGCTTCTGCGGTTGGTGCTGATCCTTTTGCTGCTCCAGCGTGAAGGCCTGACCTCGCTCCACTTCCTTCACTGCCTTGTAGAAGATCGTCAGCATACCGTCCGCCTCGATGGGCGGAACAACTCGACCCCTGGGCAGCGGGCGGCCGGCCTCGACCAGCATGAAGCTAAAGAGTTCGGCGAAGGACAGCAGGGAAGATTGCGTCATCGGACTGAGCGGCTGGAGGATCTTCTGCTGCATGGTCAGGGCATAAGACCAGAGCTCAATGCAGCGGTCAAAGCGTCCAGCGTCCGCATAGCTGGCACCCCTGGAAAAAATCACACAAATATAAGTTGTAAATCCTTGCAACATTCAGTGAAATCATCACATTCACAAACCTGTAACGGATGTAGTAACTGGTGTCCGGATGCGTGGGTCCAAGGATTCGCTGTCTTATAACCAATGCCTGCATCCGCATCTCGTCCGGGTCAAGAACCATTTCCTCCAGCTCCTCCACAGTGGTCACCTCTCGCACCATCTCGTATGCTGGCACTGCCTCCTGCACCTTCTTCAAGAGCGGCGGTTCCACAGCTCGCTCTTCGAGGGCTCGACGCCACAGTGTTAGTGCCGCAGCCAAATCCCGCTTCCTGTCCACATACGTGGCACCTAGCAGCTCCAGAGCATGAATCCTAGACTCCCTGCTCACACAGGGCAGTGTGATTAAGTGCTCCACAATGGGCATGTGACCGGTGACACTGGCCGCCAGCAGCGGCGTCATTCCATAGTAGTCCACATCCATGGTGGCGCCGTGTTTAAGGAGCAGCTGCAGTATTCGTAGGGATCCCGATTCTGCGCAATCGTGCAACGCAGTATTTCCCTTGACGCTGCACCGATTGACATCCGCATTTAGGGAGAGCAGATACTGAGCGATGCGGAAATGACCCTTGTAGCAGGCGATCATCAGGCAGGTGTGTCCGTGTCGATTCGCCACCTCAAAGTCTGCAAGAGATTAGGTAATTACAAACTGTTCCATAAGATATCTATATCCTTGACTTACCCGCTCCATGATGCACCAGATATTTAACAATCTCGTAATGTCCGTCAAAGCAGGCGGCTCTCAGTGGTGTGGAATTCGTCCTCGTGGTGCTGTTCACATTCGCCCCCCGGCGGACGAGCATCTTGACGATGCCCAGGTGACCGGTGGCCGCTGCGCACCACAGCGGTGGGGCATCCTCGATGGGCTCACCATCAAAGCTGACCGAACCCACTTGTTCCACATTGGCCCGACACTTTGTCAATAGGTATTCTACAATGTCGTAATGTCCGTTGCGGCATGAGATGACCAACGGGGTGGCTCCGTTCACTTTTGCCGAGATCAGGCTGCCCACTTCGCTGGCACTTTTGTTGCATAGTGTGGCCTGTAATTAGAAAAGGAGGAGAATCTGGGTTAAATATAGAGAGCAAAGTAGAGCATCTCTTAATCGGTCAGCCTTATCTGATAATTTATTAATTTTTTAATAGGCCAAAAGCACAAACTAAGGCGACATGTATAAGTGTTATGGCGCCATAGAGATTTTTTAAATAGTTTCTGGTTTATCAAGAAAATAAATCCAATCAAAATATGATTTAGTGATTTTAGTTAGTGACATCGATATTTTCACTGATTATATATTATTTACATTTGGTTGCTTGTGAAGATTAAATATTAATTATGAAGAATTATGTAGAAAAACATTTCTACAAAAATTATGCAGATAAGAACTTGCTGAGAATGATTATAAAATGTATTGTTATTAGGCTTTTATGAACTAGAAACTATTTTGTGGAATCAACAGATTGAATAACATGGGGTTTATTTCTTGAACCCTTGGGGAACATTTCGTTATTTATCTCTCTTTAAACCTTAAACTTTAAAACTTATAGCGAAATAGAACGAGTTTTATGTTGAATCATTTTCCGATCTAAGCTGGATTTTGGTTTTTTATTGTTTTCGTCATGGGAAATGCACTTGTTATTACCTCAAAATTGTTTATAAATTTTATCAATATTATATAGCCTTATCAATGCATTATCACAGGTTCCACATTGATATATGCAATACGTTTCTCTTGATACAGATCCCAAATCACATAACAATTCCAATTAGCTGCGTTTCTTTATATATTATATAAATTTAATCAATGAAAATATATTGATAATAATTTATAATTGCTTCCAAGCAAAGTGATGACGAAGAGAGCGGGAAAAAACTCAGGCCACCTGAACAAGAGATAATAAAATGGGGCGGGGAAAAGGCACATGGGGAGATAAGAGAATCGGAGATATATATGTATATATATATATTGCTAGCCAACAGCTGCTCTCACACTCAGTTGTCTAGCAAGCTTATAATTTGTATATATTTTTTCCATAGTTGTCTCTCTGACTTCCAGTCTGATATGAAATTGAAATTCATTTATGTCAAACGTGTCTCATTTTCGCCTTATGCTAATTATGTTGTTTGCCAGCGCGTACAAGGCGGATGGGGGGTGGTGATGCAGGGGTGGGGTGCCTCGTAGCTGGTCGCCAGATTGGCTACGGAGAATAGATTATAGCCACAAAGGAATCAACAACAATTTACATATAATTTTTTCTATACAAATTAAAATCATTTCCATATTCCTACACAGAAACTATCATTTGTCGAGTTTTTAAAATCATTGAAGTATTAAGTTGCTTAATAGAAATTTAAATGTTTACATTTACTTCTCATTTAAAACAGATTTCTAATTTTAATAAGCTCAAATTTATTCAAAACTTTAATGAAACACTCCCGAAGGCAGTTGAAAGAAACAATGTTGCTAGAAATATGTTGCGCAACATTGAATCTCTCAGCATTAATTAGCAACAAGTAGTTCTTCTATTTTCTTTTCAGTTTCTTTTATACTTTCTATAATTTATCTCATTGTCATATTTTTACTCACTTTAAAAATTAATCTAAGATACGTTTTTAATTCATATCTTAAATGCGTAAAAGTAAATTTTAAGGAAATACAACTTATAGGGAAGAAAACCTTGACAAGAAACAAAAGCATATTGTCAACCCATCAAATTCAATTAGAGCATTCGTCAATATGTGTGTGTGTGTCACCCAAGAATCGACATCAACAACCCAATAACCCCTCCCAGCCGCCTCCCCTGGCTGCATAGAACCAGAAACGAGATAAAAGCAAATAGGAGAAGCCGAGATAAAAGATGCCAGCCGAAAAAAACAACATGTGGGGGTTTGGGGAGAAACAAAAGACCTTGTGAATGCCGCACGGCTTTTTTTCGCTACAGTCCAACCAGACAAGTTCGACAATCTTTGGTATAAAAATATTATAACAAGAAATTATACCTTCTGTTCTCTCACAAATTACGTAACTTCACGCTTATTAATTCTAAATGTATTTAATTTTTAATTAAAGTAAATGTATTTATATCTGTGAAATTGATTTTGATAAAATGATTACTGTAAAAAATATATACATTTTGGTTTGAATTTATTTAAACAACATTATTTAGACCTTGGTTTAATTCTATTTACTAATTGGTAATAAATAATATAATTAAACTACTAGCTGTATTTTAAATTGATTTCATTATATAACAAATTATACGTTTTTTTTGTAATTTTTGCACATGAGTCTTAATAAATGGTTTCAATAACTCAATTTATTTAACCCAATTAAGTTTTACTGTATTGTTTTTATTGGATCCTTTTCGTTTTGTTTATTTTTTGCTATTAAAAAGCAGACTTTCTTTGATTGCTTCCTACTTTCTGTGAAGAGAATTTTCTTTTGGCCATTTTCTTGGTCTCGATATTATTGCTTTCGTCACCCGACGTCGGCATTCTTTTCCTTAACCCCTTAAACCCCCAAACGCCCCGCCAATCAGCGCCTCGTGCGCGTGACAAGAACGAAAAAAAAAAATATATATATATAGAATTAAAACCAAAACAAAAGAAAGCAGTCAAAATAAAAATAAAGAAAAACATTTTTGGCACGACTATTAAGCAGAAAACGTATTTCTTTCCTTTTTCGAAAACACCGATTATTGAGCTATATTCGCAACGGAACACAACAAGTGCAATGCGCAAGCAAATTGAACAATGAAAATTACGCATTAATTTTGCAAAAGCAAAAGCTGAAATATGTTTACAGCGACGCCTCGTTTCCCCCTCATCCGCATTATTATTGACTGGTTGAACTTTTCGCTTTCGAACCCTCCCGAGGCGATATTGATCATCATCAGCAGCAGCAGCTGTTCTCTCCCCTTTTTTCCGGCTTGCGATCCATTCATTATGATTTTCAATTTATGATTTGACAGCGATGAATCAGCTGGTTGTTTGTGTAACTAATTAAGATTAAAATAAGCCAGTAATGATTGAAATATTTTGGAAATTAAATACATATTTTGTAACAATAAAAACAATGGGTAAAACTTAATACTAGATGGTTTAAAAAGCTTGAAAATTTGTATTAAAATCTACAAATGTTAATAAATATTAGAAAACTGCTTCACTGCTTCTTACTCCAAGAAATATAGTATTTAAATCATTTAAACTCCTAATATATTATTTAATTTTAGTCTAGTGTCATATAAGCACTATTTGCTCAATTCTCTATGCATTTTTTTGTTGCTCTTTTGGCCATCATTTAACCTTGTTACTCGGGCCCAAAAGCCGAAAAAAGCTTCAAACGAAATGAAAAGTCAATCTGACAATGGGGAAGGGGGCAGTCCGTGTGGCACAGAAATCAAACGGCACGTGAATTGTGGGCGGTACTAAATGGTAGGGTAGGGGCGTGGCAGGGCCACGGGGAGAGGGGTTCTGGGCGGAACGAAACGGTAGCGGATGTAGCAGCCGGTGGAGGAAAATCAATCAATTGTGCTCAGGTTACTAAGCATTATGCTATAATAGATGTGACCCCGTCGATATTGGTTCAGTGGCCTTATTGCCTGACTCGAAAGAATAAAAAAAATATACGAAATTCAATCAAGAAATTGAAGAAAATTATGGGAAACTCTTCACTTGCTAAATGTTTTCTTTAATTTAATTATGCTAAGTAGGCGAAGGTTGCTAAGGAATAAAAAAGTAACAAACAATGGGAAAGACCCTGCTTAATGGGGTAAAAACTTAAGTCCTTCAATTTTGCATCATTTATGAACTGATAATTGAAAGATAAATAAAAAGTGAGCAGTAAATCCATTAAATTCAATTGATAAATTGATATTTGCTATGCAAACTTCATGTACTTCATGCAATTTATACAAGATCAATACTCAGACATTCTCTGCATCTATTAATATTTATTTTGGCCATAAACGTATATGGTATGTTCTGATACTTGATTGTAATTTATATTCCAAGTAGTTTTACTTTGCGTAAACATTACTTAGAGTTTAGAATATTCACATTTGCCTTGTCTCCCATGTAACCAGAAATAAATTCTTGTTTATTTTTCTTTAGAATTTTAAGATATTTATACCCTCAGGCAAGACACTCACAGGAAATCCCCGAAAAACGGAAAAGATCCCCGCAAAGCTTATGAATATTCCAACAAAATTGGCCAAGAGCAAATGCAGCTAGTCAAAGTTAATTTATTTTCTTAATTCCTATATTTAACCTTGCACCAGAAAAAATAAAACAAAAACATGAGAAATTTCACTTCCACAAAATTGTGAAAATAAATCTCTTTTTAATTTGTTCTCTGTTCCTGGGTTGTTTGGCAAATTGGGGAAATGTGAAAACAACAATAATAACACTGGCGATAAATAACAATTTCCCAAGGTATTTATGTATTATTTTTGTTTTTTACATTTCACATATTTGTTCTCAAATTCAAAGGCAAAAAAAAAGGAGAGTGGAAACACCTTGAACACATTTTTACCGCTATGCACAAATGTCAAGTTAATGCGGCCTAAACACAGCTATTAAATTAAGGCAACAGCACGACCAAACAAACAAACAACAGCAACAACAACAAAAATTGTTCGTTTCCGTGTAATAAACAATCAACAACTTTCCATTGTTATTGTTGTTGTTGTTAGCCACTGAAGCTGGCTTTGTTGCTGCTATTTTAGCCATGTTTTTGTTGTGTTTTTTTTTTGTGTGTGAATTGTTAGTTGGTCGTTTCGCTTTGTGATCAATTTTCTGCTTTGACCGATTTGAATATCTCTCCAAGGCACAGGGAAAAAATTTAGACTAATTTTTGGTTAAAAGATATTTAGTTGTAAGTTCAGGAAACTATATATAATATATTTAAAGATTATTAATAGAGTAGTAATAAATTGTGGAGTTTCTTTGATTTTATTTGAGAGATTTCTAATGAGTGCTTTCTTTCGATATTGTTTTTATATTTTATAAAATTTATGAAATGACTGATACGTTTTTTTTACA